ACAACACCTTTTTAAAGTGTTGAAGAGCAAAGATGTCAGCTTGAGGACTAAGGTGCACCTGACCCAAGCCATGGTATTTCCAATAACCTCATATGCATGCGAAAGCTGGACAGTGAATAAGGAAGACCGTAGAAGAATTGATATTGGAGAAGATTACTGAAAGTGGGCTATCAAAAGAACCAATAAATCCGTTTTGGAAGAAGTGCATCTTGGAGACCAAAATGGCCAAACTTTGTCTCTCATACTTCGGACATGTTGTCAGGAGGGACCAGTCGCTATAGAAGGATATCAAGTTTGGTAAGGGGAGGGTCAGAGAAAAAGAGGAAGACCCCCAACAAGATGGATTGGCTAAGTGGCAGCATTAATGGAGTCAAGTGTGGCAACAGGAGTAAGGTTGGTCCTGTATCGAGCAGTGTTTCGTTCTGCTTTGCATAAGGTTGCTATGAGTCGGTACCGACTCAACAGCACCTAACAACAACAACTGTGGAATAAAACACTGGACTGCAAGGTAGGTTTAGAACCACAAGGGTGATAGTTCAAACTCTCCAGCCGCTCCTTGGAAACTCTATACAGGGTCTCTATGAGTTGGAACCAACTCAATGGTACTTAAAAACAAGAATAGAAATACTATAAACAAACACTAAAAGAAAATCCCCAGGGGATCTGATTAAAATGTGGATATTGATATAGTACACCTGGGGTGGAAATAAGGGAGTCCTGGGGATGATGGGGGTTAGGTGCTGGGCTTCTAATTGCGAAGTCAGTGGTTCAAACCATGAGCAGCTCCATCAAGAAAGATGACGCTATCTGCTCTGGTAAAAATTTAGTCTCAGAAACCCTGTGTAATTTAGTTGTTCTGAGTCTGAATCCAATGGGTGGCAGTGGTTGGGCATAGAAATGCAAATTCTTAGCAGGGCATGGAAATGGAATAAACCACTTCAAAGCCCTGAAAGAAACACCCTCACTGGCCTCCATGTTTAAGATCTGTAACAAAATCTGAGTGCTATGATAGTCATTCTTTGGTTTTTGTTTTTTTACAACAGACATTTACTGGCAGTACTGTACTTTAGATTAAAACACACACACACACACACACACACACACACGTGCTGCTCTCAACTGCAAAAGAAATACTAAGGCGAGCATCCAAGTACTGGTGTGGAGGTGGAGGGAAGGTGGAAGATTAGGCCAGTATATGGTATATGGAGGTTAACATAAATTTCACAAGAGAAGTAACACTTGAGTTAGCTCTTACAGTTACCAATAATTGCTACATTTTATTTTTTGGGAAAGCATTATCAGTGACAGCATTTATCTTAAAGAGCATCAAGTACACAAACTGCTAAATCTCACTTTAGAGACTAAGATGTGCTCATGGGTAATACCACATTTATAGAATGTCTTCAACCCTTACCTTCAGAGTACACTCCAAGACCCATATTTTGTAGGTGATTAAAAACTATTAGGGAATTCATACTACTTAAATACTCATTTCTATTGCATTTGCTTTTATTTAAAACTTTATATATTCAAAATAAAAGTATAATCATACTAATGAAATATCAATATATGAAAATTTTACAGTAACAAACAAGACAGTAATAACTGTAAGTAAACTCTTACAATTAGGAGTTCACACTAGTCACCTAATCAATCACCTAAAAAAAAAAAAAACCCAAACTCTACCAACTCTCCCTGGGAAGGAAAAAAAACTCAAAAGAATAGAAAAGGAAAAAAATATATATAATGGGGACCATAAATTTAGAGCTCTTTGTTTTACAAAATAAGAAATTCCAAGTATATCCAGACCTGTGAATTAATCACGACATGCACTACATAAAGATGGAGCCATGGACTAAGGACAAATTAGAAGCTAAAACCTCAAGTTTTACCATCTATAATAGTAAGAGTTTGCAATTGATCTCTTCGAACTCTGATTCTATTAAAAAGCTGGATCAAGTACAGAGTTTTAGAATAATAGTTGAAAAAGAGTTCACTATAGTTTTTAGACTAATAAGCTTGAACTCTAAAATAAAATTTCTAGAAATGGTATAAAGTAAAAATTCCCCTTTTTTTTTTGCTTTCAGCCCCTGAAATTTCACATCATTTGTCCAGTCACTTATATCCTTGGCTTGTTCCCAGAACAATAGAAAATGTTATTAGTTTTACTACTCCCCAAAATCAGTTGTAGTGCGGCACTGTGGGTTAATGCGCTGGACTGCAAAGTCAGTTTGAGCTGCAAGGTTATTGGTTCCAGCTCACCAGTCACTCCTAGGAAATACTATACAGGGTTGCTATGGGCTGGAATTGACTGGACAGCATTTAACAACAACAATTTCTATTTATTAATGTTTTAATATGCATTAAAAGATCTACAAAAGCAAGAACTGAGTGTAAAGAAAAGCCGTCCTTTACTCACCATTATCTGGCCCTTGAAATTTCATGGAATAAAGCTTAACAGGTTGATTGAATGCCACGGTAATAAGAAGCTGTGAAGACAGTAATAGTTTCATTTTTAAAAGTTCTCTTCGATACCTGGACATACACAATGCCTAAGCAGAATTAAAATCAACAGAGGCTGAAAAATTTTTTAAATTAATTTAACAAAACCAGTATAATATGGAGGATCAGTTAAGTTGAAAGCAATTTGATGAGACTGACTATAACAGTAAGGACTATTACTTACAGAAGACAATGCAATTTAAAAAACGGTTTCATGAAGTTAATGAAAATTAAAAATTGTAACTTACGGTCTTGTGACTCATTAATTGGCTTCCCAACAAATGATATGAAATTATCAAGTTACAATAAGCTTTACAACTACATACTTTAAGCATGAAAATTGGTCTCTATATTCATTTGGAACAACAGAGGAATGAAGACAGTTAGGAACAGTAGGAGGATATGAATGTGTTGCTAATTGCCTCCATGAACAACAGGCGTCCTTTGCCAGGAGACTAGAAGAACAGGATGGTGTCCAGCAACCCTTACTGAACATTTTGATCAAAGATTCCATAAAAGAATACTTATCAAAAGGGGGACAATACGGAACAGAATTCCATCAAATTCTCTTGGACTCCAGAGTCTCTGGAGCCATGGAGGCTGGATGAACCCCTGAAACTACTGCCCTGAGATCATCTTTAACTCTTTAACCAAAAATGTCTCATGAGGTCTTCTTTAAAGCAAACAATTGTCTAATTAGGAAAGAACGGCTCCCTCAAGCATTGTGCTCTTATAGTATCGGAATCTTGGTGTGGCGCTGTAGGATAAAGCACTGGCCCACAAGACAAGTCTGAGCCACAAGGTTGGTGGTCCAAACCCACCTGTTGTTCCTTGGAAATCCTATACAGGGTCACTATAAATTGGAACCAACTCCACAGCACTTAACAACAACCTATATAGAATCAAACTGACAACAGGACAGGAATCCTATGGGGCATGAGTTGATGTTAACAAGGGAGGAACAACTCAGAAAAAGAGGGTAAGAATGGTGGCACAACCTAAAAATGGAACCGGCATCACTAAATTGCACATATAAACACTGCTGCATTTGTGTAGGTTTTGCTATGATGTTTCCAAACAGCGACAACAAAGAGACTAACATTCAAAGATCTGTTGATGTACTATGTAGGAGTGAAGAGCCAGACATATAGAAAGTGCTCATCTAATGGCTAATTTTCATCAAAGAAACACTCGTCTGTGTGTGGGGGAAAGTGTGGAAGGCAGAGGACGAGCAAAAGGACTTAAGAGTGGCTGAAGGTTCATCTCAGCATGAGGACAGCTAAGGGTACTGTAGTTCTCCCAGTGCACCTGGCAGCTCATATAGAAGGAAGAAAGCACACAGATGGTGTGAACAGTCCAAGGAAAGGGGCCAAAGAAATGGAAGGTTATAAAAAGGAAGACGAAATCCTGAGATGGGACCATGACAAAGTTACACGAGAGAACAGAAATATCTATAATCCTTCCAACTCTATATTAAGCAATTACCTGCTCATCACAGTCAGATTCCAAGAAGGACAAGTCTTTTCGTAAACAGTTGTCAAATCCATGTTCATCACTTTCATTAAGACACTCACAGCCAGCTTTGTTAATAAAAGGCATTAAGTCCATCTGAAAAAAAATATCAAGACTTTAAGCAAGACGTTTGATTTGGCAAAAATCTTAATTTTTTAAAATGTGTGATTATCTCTAGAATAAGCAATTTTAACAAAAACTTGAATATCTTTTCAAATAGTTACTACTTGACCACAAGGTCTGTTTAAAACACAAAGACAGAGGTTCAGACTCACTAGCCATCCTCGGAGCCCCTGTACAGAGTCACTATGCATCAGAACCCAACTAAACTTTTATAGTAGTGTTTTTATTTGAATGTCTGCCTGAGATGGATCACCAATTGGTAAAGATAAATCTAGTCTTAATCTATTTAGTAAGGATATCAGAAACCATTTTTTTGACATTAAGATTATAAAAATCAATTCGTCCTTTTAAAAAATGATCTTTTGCACTAGGAAACATGCAAGTTAGAATTTATATAAACCCCTAAGAAAGCCTACCTCCCTCTCACAGTGGACTTGGACTCTCCACACTTATTTTCATTTAAAATAAGTAGCAAATAAGGACCTTAAAAGATTTTTAGTACAAGAAATGTCAAAACTACAAAAACAGAATAATAAAGTGAGCCCATGTACCCACTCCAGCTACGATGATCAACAACTCATGAGTACTCTTGTTTCATCTTTACAGCCTAACCACTCTCTAATTCTTTCTCAAACTGTCCATTGTTTTGAAGCAAATTTCTGACATCTTGTGTCATTCATAAACATTTCAGTGTATATTTCCGTAAAAGGACATTTAAAACAAGAGAGTCTCGGTATCATTTTCACAACTAATTAATACAGTTGCTGTTGTTAAGTGCCGTTGAGTCGATTCCAACCCATAGCAACCCTATGTAGGGTTTCTAAGGAGCAGCTGGTGAGCTTGCCCCACCAACCTTGCAGTTCAATCAGCTTTGCAGTCTGACACATTAGCCCATAGCACCACACCAGGACTCTTAATACTATAACACCATCAAATTTCTCAATGCTCAAGTTTCCTCAACTGTCTCCTAAATATTTCAGTTGAATTATTAAGAATCAGAATACGGATCTAGAAAAGGTACACACTGTACTTATTTAACATGTCTCTTAAATCTTTTTGAAGCTGTAGTAATTTAATGTGTTCATCTTTAATATTCTGAACTTCCTAATTCCTTCCCTGTGATATCATGTAACATACTGAGCATTTTATGAATGTTGTAATGGATTGAACAGTGGCTCCTCCAAAAGACATGTCTATCAAGAACTTAAAAATGTGACCTTATTTGACATAAGGACCTTAGCAAACATAACTAAGGATCTTGACAGAAGATCATCCTGGACTTAAAGTTGTTGTTGTTGTTATATGCTGTGGAGTCAGTTCTGACTCACAGCAACCATGTACAGGGTTTCCGAGGCTGTAAATTTTTACAGGAGCAGAAAGCCTCATCTTTGTTCCGTGGAACAGCTGGTAGTTTCAAACTGCTAACCGTGAGATCAGCAGCCTGATTCATAACTACTATGCTACCAGACTTAAAGAGTGGACTCTAAATCAAATGACTGATGTCATTTGTAAAAGACAGAAGTCGACTGAGGCATACACTTCATAGAATAATTTAACCATTTGAGATTAAAAGGGTAGCATTTCCTAAAGACAAACTTCAGAAGGGTTAGGAAAGAAGAAAGACACAGGAAACTCAGTGAAAAACAATGCACAAAGTGATGTTACATTGTGAGGATTGCAACCAATGAGATGAATCAAAATGAATGTGTATGGAAAATTGATCTGCTCTGTAAACCTTCACTAAATTCACAAAAACTTCAAAAAAAAAAAAAGAGGGAAATTTGACCCACAGAGACCCCAGTGGGGAAGGCCTTGTATAGATGAGGCAGAGAATTCCTTAGCCAGAGTCCAAGAAATGCCAGCTGTCACCAGCAAGTTAGGAGAGGGGCATGGAATGGATTGTCCCTTGGAGCCTCCAGAAGGAGCCAAGCCTGCCAGCCCCTTGATTTTGGATTTCTGGCCACCAGAATTGAGAGAAGCCATTTCTGCTGTTTTTATGGTAGCCCTAGGAAACTAATACTAGTGCTTTAAGAATAAATAGATATTGAAATTTTGTCTTGTGCCTTTTCTGTATATTTGGAAATTATGATTTTTCTCCTGAGCTCTATTAATAGGACAGAATATATATATGGAAATCCTAATATTAAACAACTCTGCATGTTTGGAATAAATTCAATTTCCAATTTTTCTTAATGTGTTGCTGGAATTCATTTACTGAAATTTTATTTAAGATTTGTATATCAATATTCATAACTGAAACTGTATAGCTTTCCTTTATTGTTAAAAATTTTACCAGATCCTGATTTCTATGTTATACTTATTTCAAAAGCAAATCTGGACGTTTTCCCTCTTTATATAAGCTCTTAAGTAGCTGCAGTAACACTGGATTTATGTGATCTTTAAGATTTGGTAGCATTTCCTCATGAAGTCACCTAGGCCTTTGTGGAGGAGCTTTTGCCGTCTTCTCTACTTCCTCTCTAGAGATTAGTCTGTTTAGGGATTCTGTTTCTAGTGGAGTCAATCCTGGAGAACCGATTTTTCTAGAAAAGTTCTAGAAAAAAGTCCATTTCATCTACTAACTAGGAATTATTTTGAAGGTTTCTAAATATCATATCTTCAGTTGCATGGTCATCTTTCTATCACAAAAGGTGTTCAGTATTTTTTTTTATTACTCAGGGAACACATAAGCATTTACTTCGTAAACTCTAGTATTAACCAATAATCCATTAGCATGTTGTTGTTGTTAAGTGCTGTCAAGTCGGTTCCGACCCACAGCGACCATGCATAGGGTTTCCGAGGAGTGACTGGTGAGCTTGAACCGCCGACCTGGCAGTTCAAACAGCTGTGCAGTCCAGTGCATTAACCCGCAGTGCCACACCATAGAGCCCTAATTATTCTTGGAGGGCCTAATTGTTTTCAATGTCAAAATGTATTAGACAGGGTGCCATAGAGTAACCAACCCCCAAAAACAGGGGGAGAGGAGGGGGAAAGGAGGGCAACAGAGCAAAGTTCAACCATAGGAGTATTATTCCTGAGTTTCATTAAAACATCTGTCTTGACTGGTGGTTTTGACAAAATCTTTTAAAAATGTGCTCCATCCTACCTTGTTGTCACTTCTACACTATACCTAAGACTGAAACCCCAGGTATGAAATAACATTGTAGCCATATACTTCCAATATCTCAGTGATGAAACTAAAGTAAATGGATGTATTTAGGATAATTATCATATTTAGTTACTGTGGTGGTGGTTGTTGTTGTTAAGTGCCATTGAGTTGGTTCCAACTCATAACAACTCTGTATTATAGGGCTTCCAGGAGAGGCTGGTGGGTTTGAACCACTAACCTTTTGGTTAGCAGGACAGTGCTTATCCTACAGCACCACACCAGTTGTTATGGGGCACATTAAACAAGTTTTATATTTAAACAGTGACATTAAATCATCATTTGAAAACAGAAATTCTGACATAATGCTTCTGAAACTATGAAATGGGGAAGAACATCACTACCTATTATAATCAACTTGCCAAAATGAGGGAAAATCATGAGATTATAGACAAATCCACACTGCACAGTCTGTAAAACAGCGGATCTAGACCTATATTCTCCAATATGGCATTCACCAGCCACATGTGCAAATGTACAAAGAATAAAAATGAAAAGCTAGTTCCTCAGCTGTACTTGCTACATTGTGAAGGCTTATAGTATGTGGCTAACACATTGTTAGACAGACACTGGTCTAAACTTTCAAAGGCAGTCATGCAGGGGGCGGGGAGTAGGGCAGGTAGGGAAAAGCATTCAGACTAAAGAGAATTAATAACTTAAAGGCAATGCACATTTTGATCCTATTGTTGCTGTTAAGTGCTGTTGAGTCGATTCCGACTCATAGGGACCCTGTACAGAGTTTCTGAGGAAACTAGTGGGTTTTAACTATCGTCTTTGTGGTTCGCAGTCCAGTGCTTATCCTACAGTGATACACCAGGAGTCCTGAAGGGGAGAAAAGCTATCATAAAGATATTTGGGAAATAATCAGGGAAATAGGAATTTCCTTACCCTGTATATTAGATACAGCATCAGTGTTCATTTTCTTAGGCAGAATACTATGGCTATATACAACAATGTTTCTGTTCTTAGGAACTATATGTATACTTCACCATGATAAAGATTCTTTTTCCAAGAAATATTTAGAGATGAGCTCTAAATTTACTTTTAAATGGTTTCACAAAGGTATAAATTGCCATACAGATGATAATGAGATAGAACACAAACAGCAAAATGTAAGCCAGTGACGAACATAGGTGACAGGTGGGCCAGTGCTGTAGTCTGTCCACATTTTTGTAAATTTCACTGTTTACAGGGAGGAGAGAGAGACAGAACCTTTTTCACTCTTCAAGCTTTGGGGTAAAAAAGATTTAGCACTGCCAATATAAATTAAGACATCTGAAGTTTGATTTTATTCCGAGGAAGGATGCCAAATCTGTAGACTAGAATTTACCAGTTCAGAGGTCAGAATACTGAAATATACCATACCACCAAGCCTCAAGATTTACAGCACAGGCTATTGGTCTCTCCATGTGCGAAAGAAAGTAGAGTGATAAGAATTTAAGAGGATTGGAATCATTAGTCCATTGGACTAGTGGAACACGTGACCATCACTCTCCAAGACTCTGAGACCAGAAAAACTAGATGGAGCCTGGCTACCACTACAAGCTGCCCTGAAAGGGATCACATTAAAGGGTCCCAGATAGAGTAGGAGAAAATGTGGAGCAAAACAAAATTATTAAAAAAAAAAAAAAAAAAGACCAAGTTTACTGGGCCCAAAGAGACATGAGGAACTAACTCACCTGCCTGGCTCAATTTTCAGCCAAGCAATAGATGGGTTTATTGAGGCAGGAGGTGGGAGGCAAACAACACTAGAAAGGTATGCTCAACATGGAGTGATCATTCAAAATCAAAAGAGTCACATTTTCTTAAGGGCAAAGTTGAGAAGAGATAGGACGTTAGGTGGAATACAAATAGGAACCCACAGGAAGGAAGCCGGATCACTGTTATCGCATGGAAGGGACTGCAATCACTGAGATGAAACAAACTGTATGAGTTGATGATTGTAAAACTGATGATCCTGTCTGTAAACCTTCACTCAATTCATATTGAAAAGTTAAAAAATAAAAGATATGAAAGATTCCTTATTTAGCCTGTGATACTGGCATGGTGGTGGTGGTGATGTGCCATGGAGTTGGTTTCGACTCATAGCAACCATGCACAGGATTCCTGAGGCTGTAGAAGTGCAGCCAGAGTGCTCCTTAGAGACCAAGATGGCCAAACTTCGTCTCTCATACTTTGGACATACTGTCAGGAGGGACCAGTCGCTGGAGAAAGATACCATATTTGGTAAGGTGGAGGGTCAGAGAAAAAGAGGAAGACCCCAATGAGATGGATTGGCAAAGTGGCAGCATCAATAGACTCAAGCGTGGTAACAATAGTGAGGTTGGCCCAGGATCGGGCAGTGTTTCGTACTGTTGTGCACAGGGTCGCTATGAGTCGGTAGTGACTCGATGGCACCTAACAACAACAAATCTTCACGGGAGCAGAAAGCCTCATCTTTCTACTACAGAACAGCTGGCAGTTTCAAACTGCTGACCTTGCGGTTCACAGCCCAATTCGTAACCACTACACTGCATAGTTACTTTAAATTAAGGAAGTATAGTTGTAATTCATTTAAAATAGAACTATAATACAATAAACAGAACTTGTAAAATCTAGTTAGAAAACCTGAACATGTTGTATGAATCAGGGTGGTGACACCTTTTGAAAATTTTGGGCAATCATTTGACTTGTAAACTGCTTGTGTTTACATCTTTCCTTTATTACTAGGGGTTTGCACGAAAAAGTGTGATTGCAGTGTTGTGTGTGGCCTCATGTAGGAAATAAGCAGGTAAAATTAAATTTCAAGAAACAAAAACTTAGTGTTCATGCAAATATTATGAATAAAATATGAGATACTACTAAAAGCACTTTCATTTTTTCCCATCAGATGTCAAATCAAGACATTAAAAGTTTAGATTTTTTAATAGAGCTAGAAGAGAAAAGATACATTTAAAAGGATTGAGTAAACACGAAAAGTAACAAAGAGTTGAATATATGTAATGGTCATACAAGGGCGCTTCAAGGAAGTTCATGGAAAAATGGAATGGAAAGATAATGACAGTTTTGCCTAAGAATATTTTCTAAGTACCCTTGTACATTAAAATTTACAGATCATTTTACACAATTATCAAAAAGTGAAAAATTTTCCAGGGCAATTTTTTTAAGGATATAAAACAAAGTGTTTAAGAAATGTATTTGTAACATACATTAAAATAGATTTAAAAAAATAAGCTATAGTACACCCCCCCACACAATAATCAACTACTGTGCTTACTTTTTAAATTGTTACTTGAAAGCATGCTGGACTAATAATACAGGATAACAATGAGAATATAGTCCTATTGTGTAAAGAGTGCTTTAGTCAATTTCATTTTAACCAAAACATGATCAATATAAAACAACATACGACAATTCCATTATAAATCTACATACGTAGCCTTTGGGAATATCTGTGTCCTCATTGCTTCCAGGGTCATTTTCTAAGTGCTGCTTAATTTTTTCTTCTAGTCCCACAGCATCTGCTCCTTGATACTGATCAATTCTCACTTTATTTCGGAAAAACAGAAATGTGGGTGTTGCCGATATATTGTTGGTGGCAGCTGTTCCCTAGAATTGGCATGTAAGACAGTGAGTGGTATGAGTTAAAAGAAATATTAAGCAACTTTAAATATATATTTTACATCTTTATGGAGGTTAAAGATCACAAATATGAACTAAAATTATGTAAAATACTTGATTCCTAATTGCAAAACAAAGCAGGCCTTTTCCTAAGAGAAATTTCTTTAGGAACAACTACCATTCCCTTGCACTTACACTGAAATACAGTCCTTCATTTTTATCAGTTGCAGTGACTCATCCAGTATAATAAATAGTTTACATTCAGAACTATGGTTCATAACACCAGTGAATACACACTGTTGTATGCACAGCCAAGATAGATATATAACCATCAATACAAACCACTGACTCCAGGAAAAAGTACTGTCTACAATCAAAGAGAAGAGCATTCTTTAGCATTGGAACCCTTTACCCAACTCAACTCATCGGAACGGCTTCTGACCTCCCATCAATCACAGTACAATTTATCTTTTTAAAAATTGGCCTTAGCTCCACATTTTAGAACATTAACTACTGCATGGAAATTAGCTAATACACATTGAGTATCTTGGTTTAACTTTGTCATGACAATTTAAAATGAAACAGAAGAATGAATGTGTACTTTATATAGTCAAATCCTATGAAAAGCTCTGGTTGCGTAGAGGTTACAAGTCGAGTTTTGCTATTCTCAAGGTCAGCAGTTCAAAACTACCAGCTGGTCTGTGGGAGAAAGATGAGGCTTTCTGCTCCTGTAAAGATTTACAGCCTTGGAAATCCTATGCAGGGTCACTATGAGTTGGAAATGACTCCACGGCACAGTTTGGTGCTGTAAGATAAGCACTGGGCTACTAACCACAAGGTCAGCAGTTCAATTCCACCAGCCGCTCTTTGGAAGCCCTATACAAGGTCACTGAAAAAAAACTGACTTGCTGGCACTTAACAACAAAAAAAAATTATTAAAAGAAAATAGTACAAAGACCAGGTAAGGATGTCTTTTCTAAGAAGTGAAAAACCATGCCTGGCCTTCCAGAACAACGCTGTGCAGTATAACTATGCGAGTTACACAAGTAATTTAAAATTGTCTATTAGCACTTTAGGACTTCTGGTGTGGTGCTGTAGGATCAGCACAGGACTGCGAACCACAAAGTCAGCAGTTCAAACCCACTAGCTGCTCCTTGGAAGCCCTATACAGGGTCACTATGAGTCAGAAGTGACTCAAAGGAATACATCAACAATCAATATTAGCACTTAACAACAAAATTAGCCATTAAAAAAGTAAAAGGAAAAATGTTAAATGAAATTCACTTGAACATTAACATATCCAAAATACGATCACTTCAACACATAACATAAAAATTAGATCATTTACATATTTTTTATTTACAATTAGTCTTCAGACTCTGATATGTTTTACATTTCTAGTACAATTCCAACTTGGCCTTGCTGTATTTCAAGTGTTGAATACCCACATGGAGCCTGGTGGCTATCATATCTGTACACCACAGGTTCAGATCAAAAACATGAAACACTCACGGTAAGGCCATGCAGTCCGATAACAGGTAACAAAACTGTCCAACAGTAAATGTGTAGTGCAGATTTTACTCAAAATCCCCATACTATTTACTATCAACGACATACTATTATTTCCCACATTCAGAAATGTAACTAACAAAGTCTCACCAAAAAGGGAGTCAGAACAAAGGACTTTTGTGGAAGAAGCCTGTCAAAATTTTTTTCCATAATAACTCCCTGTTTCTCTACATATGCAAATACAAAGCTGTCACTATTAAATAATCAGGGGCAATATAACTACAACACTGCAGTTCAGTCAAAATAAATCAACATTTCAAAACTTCCACTGAGAATGCAGCTTTGAAGACTACAAACTAATTGATTTAAATCAGTCTATGACCAAGAATATACAATTCAAGATTTCAAAAAGATAAAGAAGAAATGCAACACAGAACCGTCAAGGTAACCTATTAGCCTAATAACATATCATATTATAACATGATATAATACCAGAAGGGTATTAATACAAACACAATCTGAAACATATGACAAGGAGCTATAGAAATAACTTTCTTAAATAAGGTAGCCATAATGGCATTTCTAATAATCATGCCAACACACTTTTCTTGTCTTCTAAGAATTTTAAGTGCTGTGTGCATAAGAAGAGAAATGATGTTATCAGTGAGTTTCAATCTGATGTGTAAACTAAAAGGATGAAAAGGACAACTTCTCAATCCTTACCTGGCACTGATGTACATCCACTTCCAAGAACACTGCCTGTGGATACTTATTGCTCATAGAACTGAATGCGGGAGCAATCCTTAAACATGGCCCACACCTATGAAAAAGGTAAAAAAGTTGGTCAAATAACACCAGAATCTGTCCTGATTTATACTGTATGGTGGTTGGTGGTGGTTATGTTCCATGGAGTCGGTTCCAACTCATAGCGTCCCGGTATAGGATTGCTAAGGTTGTAAATCTTTATGGAAACAGAAAGCTTCATCTTTCTTCCACAGAATGACAGGTAGATTCGAACTGCTGACCTTTAAGTTAGCAGCCCAGCTTGTAATCCACTCTGTAACACTGGTGAACTAAAATATAAAACAAAAATAAACACTGATAATCTTGACATTATATGCTCTACTCGTTCCATTGGGTTACTTATCTATACCTGTATAATTACTACATTTTCTTAATGACTATAGCTTTATATGACATTTAAATATCTAATAGTGTGTTAAGTCTGTCAGCTTTGCTCTCAATGAGATATTAAAGATAGTCTAAATAAGTGGAGAGGCAGACTCTGCTCATGAATTGGAAGACAGTCTTGCAATGATGGGTCAACTGGATATAAATATGGGGGAGGGGATGAATCTTGACCCTCACCACACACGTGATACAAAAAAACTGCAGATGGGCTGTCATTCTATAAAACAGTAAAGATTTGGAAAAATATATACTTTTAAGACCTTTGACCTTGAAGTATTCAGGACATAAAATGTACTATGTAATGCAGAAAAAAATTATTAAGTTCTAATATATTAAGACTCTTAGTTCATCCAAAGATGCCATTGTTGCTAAATGCTGGAGGAACTGGTTCTGACTCATAGTGACCATGTATAGGGTTTCCATGAAGCAGCTGGTCAGTTTGAACCAACGACCTTGAGGTTAGCAGCCTAGTGGAACAGGTGGAAGGTAGGGAAAAGGGGGCGGTTCACTGCTTGGGGGCAAAGCTTTTGTTGAAGGTGGTGGTAAATTTTGGAAATAGATAGTAATGGTTGAAGAATGTAACCTGAATCAAACCCACTGCCATCAAGCTGATTCTGACTCTCAGAGACCCTCTATAATGTAAATCTTTATGGGAGCAGTCTCATCATTCTCCAGCAGGTTGGGGGTGGGTTGGAACCACCAACCTTGTGGTTACCAGTCCAACACCTAACTCATGACACCACCAGGGCTCCTTTGAAGAACATGATAAACAGAACTAATGTCACGGAATTGTACATGTGAAGAACAGTGAAAGATCAAATGATGGGTTACATATTATCACAATTTAAAAAAAAAGGCAATAGAAGAAATATTAAAGAGGTAAATATGGTACTTGTGGGTTAATGCACTGGACTACAAGGTCCGTCTGAACTGCAAGGTTGGTGGTTCAAGTTCATCAGCCACTGCTCAGAAACCCTGTACAGGATTGCTATGAGTTGGGACCAACTGGATGGCACTTAATAAGAATGGTACATGGAGGGGGTTGAAATCACTGTAATCAAATGAAGGACTTGTTGAATGTAAGTGACGATCTGCTCTGTAAACTTTCTCTCAATTTACAATGTTTTTAATAAATAAATATTTACAGCCAATATCCTTATCATTATGAGGCTGGCAGAAGACCAGGCAGTGTTTTGTTCTGTTGCACACAGGATTACTATGAGAAGGAACCAGCTCCATTGCACCTGACAATAATCCTTAAATGCTTAGGTTAAGATATTTATAAGTCTTAAACATCATTTATGAGAGTATAAAGCAATGAATCTTTTTTTGTTGTTGTTTTGAAGAGTCATTTGGTTATTAAATCTATCCACTTTAAATGAACAATCGAAGACCTAAAAATCTCATTTCTTCCTGTTGAAGGTTTTATTTTTACTCCTGCTCTTCATTACCAAGGGAAAACCACATATGAACCAACACAACTTCCACTTTATAAATACTAACATTTTTCTGTTTACCAATCACATGAGCTACTGTTAAACTTGTAGCGAAATAAACTATACTAAAATAATAGTTACCCTGCAAGTAACTGTTTCCTTTTATAATTTAACATTATCTAGATGCTTTCGCTTGGAATCCCTGGTTGGCACATATATGATTAGTATGCTCAGCTGCTGATTCACAGGTTGGAAGTTCGAGTTCACCCAGAGGCACTTTGGAAGAAAGGCCTGGCAATCTACTCCCCCCCCAAAGATGACTGATTAAAAATTCTATAGAGTAGTTATACTCTGACACTCATGGGATCACCATGAGTTGGAAATAACTCAAGAACAGCTGGTTAGTTAAGCATCTACTGCCATGGAGCAGATACAGGCTGGTAGCAACCTTATCAGAGTAAAACTAGTCCACAGGGTTTCCCATAGAGCAGCTTGGTAGGCTGTGATACAGTGAATTATCTAGTGTGTCTTCTAGCCATAGTCCATTGTTGTTAGGTGCTGTCAAGTTGGCAACAATTGATAGCGTCCCTATGCACAACAGAATGAAACATTGCCCAGTCCCATGCCAACCTCACAATCATTGCTTTGCCTGAGCCCACTGCTGCCGCCACTGTGCCAATCCATCTCATTGGGGTCTTCCTCTTTTTCTCTGACCCTCTACTTTACCAAACATGCTATTCTTCTCCAGGGACTGGATCATAGTTTATAACTCCCATCAAACAATGTTTTGCCCTGTGGGTTCTGGATAAGAGAAGAAAGGAGAAGATACTGATAGGATGGCATGATTCAGCTGTGGATGTTAGCAGAGTTAACTGTAATTGTAAAAACTTGAAACTGTAGCATGGGTATAAAATGAGCCACTTCAGAAGCTGTGGGGGATCTTACTACCTCCAAAGAGCTAGAGAGGAGCATGTCATTTGGATCCTGAGATCCCTGTGTGCTGAAACTCCTTGACCCAGGAAGCGAAAGCTGTGACCCCAGAGGAGTGGCCGAAGAAAAGCAGCAGCAGAACCAAAAACCAGAGCACAAGACAGAGAGCGGTAGACTTCCCAGCCCATGGTACAAATACAGCTGAGTGACTTTGGGCAGGAAGCTGGCTTATACAGTGGGGTGTCTCCAGACACTTAAAAGAGTGGACCTAGATTTGCTGACCCACAGAGTAAGAGGCAAAAGCCTTCAAGCTGAGGCTTATGGTGGAGTGGCGTGTCCTGTGGGCATTTATCAAGAGATGACTGGAACAACTGTGCCCTGAGCATTTTCTGATTCTGCACTGCTCACTTCCCTAATCAATTCCGTAAGTGTTAGTATGGTGTCTGAGTTCTGTGTGGTCACTGCAAGAGATTATTAAACCCAACTGAGGAGTTGAGGGTTGTGGGAAGAATGGTTGGTGCCACATATGTTGCAGTTTGGTGTGCGAGCGGGGATTCCATGCAATGGCTACAGACTGAAGAGAAAACATGGGGTTTTGTAAAAGAACAAAGCAACCTGGGAAGTAAAGCTTTTGCTTCTTAAATGGTTATGCTAATAGCTAACTGAGTAGGGGAAAGCTGCTATTAGAGTCACCTGAGGCAAAAAGCCAGGAAGCTGGCTTGTACAGTGGGGTGTCTCCTGTCAGGTCAACAAGGTGGCTGACAAAAGGCCCAAGGCCACATGCATATAAAGAGGCATTCCAGGGGTAGAGAAAAGAATCAACTTGAGTGTTTTAAAAGAAGAGTTAGGTATTGCCCTGAAGGAACAGGGTTTATTTTAAGCAGTAACCTGTGTATAGAGGCTTAGGTGGAAACCTGAGCTCCACCTAAAACTGAGAGAACAGGAGATTCATGTTTAAAGGCAAAACTTGCAGAGAGAAAAATGACTGGAATTTTGAATTTCAACCAAGCAGTTTGCTGTTGGATACACTGGAGCAAGTAAAGTGTGTTGCCATCAGACAAAACTCCATTCTAGGACTAAAAGTTGGCCAGCAGACAGCCTGCTATGCTCACTGGTGACCACCTGGGTCCACATGACTCCAGGAAGTTAAGGAGAATGCAGCCATGACGAAATGAGTTGAGAGAAAAGGAAGGACTAGCTGTCTGATGTTTAGGGAGTGGTGTGAATTCCTGAGCCTACCCTAAGGACCTAGCCCGTATCTGGGGAAACGGGTGGGGTGGTAAGGCTGAGAGATTGAGAGATAGCAAGTGAAGGGGCCAGCTAATCAGACAACCAGTTTTCCTTGGATATATTTTTTAGAAATACCATCCACTTGCACAAGTGGTGGAGCTTCCATGCGCAGAGCCTATAGAGGCCATATGTTACAGGCATGATGTTAGACTCCATCATAGCTGGTGGTCTTTCTAGCTTTATCAACTATCATTGTCATCTCATTAGCATAAACCCCCAGCTGTGGTCTAGAGCCCATCAAAGGCACCAGTCACTAGGGAATTCCTTTTGGATCCCCAAATTCCTGCAAAATCCTGTAAGAAACCTCTTAGAGCAGACTGATCCAGATTCAACATGAGTTTAACTCAAAAGGTATGACTTGAGCCTCGGGACCAAACACTAAGCAGATGACTACGACAGCCCCGACCGAATCTTCCAAAAGCTTTACAAAAATGTGAATGATAAACAGAATCAGTAAGGCCAGTAAATGAAAGCTTTTGATGTAAGTGCAGCCCTGGTGGTGCAGTAATTAAAGCGCCAGGAGGTCGACGGTTCAATACCACCAGCAGCTCCACAGGAGAAAGATGTGGCCATCAGTCCACTTCCGGGAAGATGACCACCGTGGAAGCCCTACAGAGCAGTTCTACTCCGTGCTGTAAAGTTGTCATGAGTCCATGTCGACTCCCAGGCGGTGGATTTGGGTTTGGGGTTTTTAAATGCAAGTGACAGCTGTCTCCTGCAAGTAGGGACCACCGCAGGCAGTCCGGACACGGGACACTCGCGGACAGGAACCCCCGGAGGTGGCGGCCAGGGACCCCCTTGTGCACAAACGGGGGCTTCATTCTGGAAGCAGAGCCCCAGGGCTGCGGCCAGCACTGGACACTCGCGAGGAGACGGCAGGGTAGCCGTGACCGGGAAGGAGTGAAAGGAAAGCACAGACAGACAGACAAACCCACAGGACTCGGCCTCACCCTCTCATGGTGAACTTGACCACAGCGAGTCTGGAGCCTGCGCCGCTCAGCTCCGGCTGGAAATCCGGGTCGCTCCCGACCGGCTTCACTCCCACCATCCTCTCAGAAAGCTTGGCAAGCCGGCCACCGACTTCGAAAGTGAAGGGTCCGAAGATCCAGGAACGAAAGGAGGCGACTCAGGGAGGCTAAGGCCTGGATACAAGAGGTGACGACCGCGGCCTCTACTCCCCGGGCTCTCAGTGCCGAGTCACGCCAGGGAACTGAGCGGCTGAAGGGGCGGGAACGTGGAGTGGCGAGGAAAGGGGACGGCGTGCGGCACCCAGCAGCCACCGCGCCACAGGACAGATGGCGCTTGCGCAGCCTGTCGTCATTTCCGTGCCCTCCGTTTTGGCTTCCACTGCCCCATCTTAAAATCCTGACCATGGCCCCACCCTCTACTGAAGAGCCTCTGGCTGCCTTCAACTACGCAAGCGCACATGAAGAGCTGAAAAGCGCAAGCGCAGACTGTGTGTCAAAGTTGCATTATCTTCCGCGTTCCTTGCACCAGATACTTTCTCCCTGGACTCCCTGGAATTACTTCTGTGGGGAAAGTGAACCTCTTGAAGGTTCATGGCTACTATATAAGGCCTTAAACCAACCACCTTCCCGAACTGTTTTGTGCATAGTCTTGTCTTATAAGAGGAAATAAGATGAGAAACATCTTATTTACGTTACAGACTGGCGCTTCCCATGCCATCATTAAATAAGTGCTGTGCACCAAGCTTACTTTTGTGCACGAAATGATGAAGGCATCGTCCCTACCTTCAGTCTAGGGACAGACCAGACAATAGTTACAGTCACAGAGACGTTTGCATAGGGGCACATTGAAGGCAAATGAGATGGGTGCGTGGGACTGGGAAAACTTGTTAGAAGTCACTCCCGATCTGAAGTGAAAGAGGTGTTAAGGTTATTGGAGGCCAAGAAACAAAACCAAACTCGCTATCATCCAGTTGATGCTGACACATAGCAAGAAAGTGCAAATTCTGATCCTCTGGTAGCATAGTTGTTACGAATCGGGCTGCTAACCTCAAGATCAGTAGTTCCAAACTACCAGCTGTTCCGCGGGAGAAAGATGAGGCTCTCTGCTCCCATAAAGGAAACCCTGTTCAGGGTCACTATGAGTCGGAATCTACTCCACGGTGCTTAACAACAATAACAAATATGATTTTTTGCCAGCACCTCTGCTATTAAGGGATTATGGAAAGCCAGTCACAGAATTTGAAAATAAACACAAGTTCCTCCTTAGCCATTTTATGCTTTTCATTGGGGCCAATGACTTATTGCAAAATATTTTTGCAAATATGAATGCTTATACTTGATCCAGAAGCAATGCATTTTTAGACTGCGTTTGAGGTCGTTTGTTTTAAAGTAAAGGAAAAAAGACTTAGATTATTGTCCATAGAACAATTTGCGAAAATCGGGTGTTAAGGTGGTTTTCATTTTCCTTTGGAGTTATCTTGAATATTATTGTATAAAGCCATTATTAATGCCATTTATTTAACCTTAAATTACCCCCAAATAATGACATTAAGTACATCGAACATGTCATTGGTATATTCAACTTTTGCTTTTTGTGCATCTGTAGTTTAATTTTCTCTTTCATTTTGGTACAATTAAATTAAGACTCTTGAGTGATAATATATGTTGTTGTTGTTATGTGCCGTGGAGTCAATTCCGACTCATAGTGACCCTGCACAGGGTTTCCGAGGTTGTAAAGCTTTACGGGAGCAGAAAGCCTCATCTTTCTAGCGCGGAACAGCTGGTAGTTTTGAACTGCTGACCCTGCGGTTTGCGGCCCGATTCATAACTACTACGCTACCAGAGCAGTATATCTCTGTATGAAAAATAATGTTTTATTGAAGGAAAAGTTTTCTTTGTTGGAGTTTGTAGCAGTTAATGTAGTTGTGTTCATTCGGTTTCATTTCTCAATGTCTTTGGGTTGGTTTCCTGGGTTGGTTTTTGTTCTGTTTTAAATACGATATAACGTGAGATTCCCTTTGCATCAAGGTGTATGCAAAATGTTGATAAAGTGCATCACAAAAGGAAAGTTTGTATTTAATAAGGAGGTGCTTTGCACTGTACTTTTTGGAAGTTACATTTAGATCTATTCTGAAGCTGTT